CTACTGTAAAACATCTGACCCATTTCACGCCCCCCCTCCAGTCCCCCCGCACTTGGTCCTTTACAGTTTAATTTACAGCGGACATGAAACTGCTGAGGTGCAGTCAGGCCCGCAGATCTGGCTGGGGACAGGCAGCAAGTACGGACCACAAGTGAGATAGCTTTCCCCTCCAACTCAGCCATGGAAATACAAGACCATAAAGCTAGAAGGCTGGCACGGCGTAGACAACAACCACAGCCCCTGCAAATGGGCTGGATAATCCCGGGGGGCAATTACAGAGTATCTGAACAGAGCCTTCAGATGTGGCGCTGTGGTGCAGCGTTGAAATGTCTGACATGTAGACCGAGACCCCATTAGACCTGGTTCAGCGGTGCTTACAACTTCATTAGGGATAACGGACGTTTCACTGTCGCCTCTGATATGTTTGTCCAGTCCTGAACCCCCTAACCCGCCCCACCCTACCTCCTGGTACTATTATATTATGTGAGACCTTGTAGACCTTTTGTCGACAGGACTTTTGCTTCAAATTACTATTATAATTATATGATATAATATTATTATTATATATATAATTATATTATAATTACTATTATAAACAAAATAAAATCAGTGCAATTTATCTGAATGTGACACATTTAAAATTCACTTGTCTTGCTGCGCCCCCTACTTTGAGAACCACTGACTTGACAGCGTGCATCAGATCTCACCAAGTGTTTACAAACATTACCCTCCCCCTCCATGGGGCAACTGGACACACTTTTATTGCCCTAGTGCATTAGTTTAGTGCATTGATACGTCATTAATGTTTAACACAAATATGACACTGTAACCGACTCAAACCGGTTTTCCCTAACGCTATTGGCTGGCCTGAACTACAGTACAGAGTTCATAAAGCAGTGTCGAAAACTCCGACATCGGAATGTCTAGTACATGATAAAATAAAAAACTGATAACAATATTTATTTCTTTCACTTTCGAAATAATTCACTTTTTGAATATAAATGGAGTTCAGTTGGCACCGCTTGATTGACAGCTGCGATCATGTGACAGTTTCACTGATATGCTAGCCACAAATAATTTGCTTAAACACTTTTATTATGAGTGTATAACATTTAGAGATTTATTTGAAGAGTTGATCTCTTCTCAGATTTGTCTAAACTAGTACTTCTCAAATTTGGGTGCGGGACCCCTGCTGGGGGGCACGGTGAGGTGCCGGAGGGTTGGGTGTGAGATCCAATGGAATAAGTGTGCCGCTGTTGTGATGCTTTGATGATAAACAAGCCTCCAGTCACTAGGTGGCAGCAACTCTTAGAGTGGTTTGTACAGATGAGAAAATACATGTTCTCAATAGTATTTCACTTGAGGGGGTGTGAAAATATTTCTGCTCCCTAGTGGAGCATGACGTGAGTTAAATAAAAACTATTGGTCTAAACTTAGCCGATTCTGCTTAACCGTTGTTGTTTAGGCAGTTTTGTATCTTTGCGGATGCATTACTGCCATCTACTGGTTCAATTTTACTCGGGTAAATCTATTTTTTTGTGGATCAATGAGAACAAAGGGAACAAAATATAGACTATTGTGATATTTGATGTGATACATACTTCTTGTCTTGTATCTGTATCCTGTTCCAGTACAGAGGCTTCATAGGGAGGGCGGGCTCGATGGTCGGCTTCCGTGGAACCGTCTCTGCAAATTTGCCAAAACTGAACCCACCCATCGGGGGTGGAGCTGGAGGACCTGGACCTGGTGGTGGAGGAGGAGGGGGTGGACCGGCTCCAGGCAGGGGAGGGGG